GATGACTGTCCCACTCCCAAGCCGTGAGTTGCCTCATTTGCTGTTTCACGCATATGTGTTATTTTTACTTTGAAGGAATTTCAACTCGAAACTAATTTTTCAACACCACTGGAATCCTCAGAAGTGGTCCTTGTGGCTTGCTGGGCTAGCTTCTATATTACACGTGTACTGCTAAGATTTTAGTGTGTTAGAGAATCCAAATCCCTTTCTGGCGGCGCGGCCGGCATTCTACTTCCATTCAGAATCGCAGTGGCTTATTGAATGCGATGTGGCCTATACAATGACTTGCGGGGGTCAGGCGCAGTGTTTTATCCTCCCAGACGAATCTGGTACCAATTCATTGTCCCCGGAGGAAAGAAGGCTTGGTTAGCCTAAGCGGGAGCCGATCCAGAATTCGATCCTGGCCGTGCCCGTGCCAGTTGCCACTATACCATCTCCGCCTGTAATGCGAATACAGTATGCCCAAAAATCAACATTTGTGATACCATTTCCTATCTGTCAACAATTAAAGATTAAAGGGCATTGAAAGACCCATAATCAATTAAGAGTTAGTACTTCCATGTTAATATTCGGGAGATAATAGCTGCGAAGAAGCTGAGGACCTGCTTCCAAGAGTAATGGCAACGTTTCCTCACATCTTTTGTGAAAATCTATGACAAATCTTATAACTGCCATCCTCGACACTCTCATTGCTAATTGTAGGGACTTTTTTATGAAGTAAAGTTAGCCAAGCGAACAATACCTAGGAATCTTTTCAATCACTTCCTGCCATAGCATTTGTATCGCTACAGCTTTGATACTTCCTTTACGGCTACAAACTTTAGTATGCCAATAGATACGAAAATCATCTCGATTTACGAAAATCGTCTCCATTTCTTCAGGCGACGTCGCATGCATGGTGGTGCATTCAGTGCAATGAAATTCCCAAAGGTACGTGAGTCAGCATTGAAATTTCCGGCAGTGCTCCACTTTCTGAGCTCTTATATTTATTTCTTTATATCATCATAAAATAACTCAAAATTTGTAAAACCTTCAGCTCACGGTTTATTGCCGATATCTAGCTATTGTTGGATTATACATGTGAGTGCTGTTAGGCTACGGCATAAAAGCCGTCTAGCTGAGAGGGTAAAAGCGGCCCTGGTGGCGTAACGGATAGCGCACTCGCCTGGAACGCGTGAGTGCCGGTTCGAGTTCCGCCCGGGGTCGGATTTTCGTCCATAATTCAGCATTCCAGTGATAGTTCTCATACGTACATGTTGTACTGGTTGAACGAGTTGTTACCTCCAGCGGCTTTCATTTTTCTTTTCTTCATATCCCTGCAATAGTCAGTATCCTGATGCATTATGAACTGTGCTTTGGCAAATATATTGAGCTTTGGGCAAATCGCTTGCTTTCAGTCGGGGAAACTGAAAGACAGTTTCGGATAAATATGAACCATAGTTGATAAGTGACTCCTCAGTGGGAAAGGAAGCAAACAACCTAAAATACCACCCCTAGTGTTTCAATATTCTTGTGCCTTACGAGGTTGTTAGGTGGAACATTTAAAATGGCCTAACGTTTCGACTCAATCGTCGTCTTCAGAGGCCAGTGGTTCCACCGTTAAGCGGATAGGTCCGCTGCCACACTAGAGCGCTGTTAGTGGAAAAACCCCTAGTTTCCGCCTCCGATACAACCCTCCTTCCTCACCCTGCCTATCCTAGATTTTCCCAACCCTACCACTTTTTCCAGTCTTTTCAGTCTGCAAGACAGCGAGGGGGAGGGTGGGAATCCCCGAAAATTTTCCTAATCTTTCCCCAAAATGTTGCTGTAGAAGGAGAATAGCACATGTGAAACGGAAAAAAATCGTGAAAAGCCAAGAACCGGGAAAATTTTTTTCCAACTCCGCGAATTTCTCTCGAAGGCAAATACGACCCCTCCTTATAGCGTCCGTGAAACAAGAAAAATCAACTACCGAAAAAATTTTTCAGACCAAATATGATCATCTCCCCCAGCGACAAAATGCGACCCCATGCAAGTAATTCACCGAGTAAGTGGTTCTCTTGCAGACTAAAAAGAACGAACCTTACAAAGATCACGCCTCTCTTGCCGCGTTATCTCCCCATTTCGAGCGATGGAAGTAGTACACTCAGTTCGCTGCGGACGGTTGGGCGTGTCAGGCAGTATGAGTGTGTCACCCCGTCAAAGCCGTTCTCTGCCTTCTTGTTGAAGCGCGCATGCGACAAAAAGTGGTAGAAAACGAGTAATACGAACGATATGATACAGTCATATCATTTGCTCGCTTTAACAACTGGTGGAGAACGGGTTTGGCACCGCGCCAAACTCATCCCGCCTGACACGCCCAACCGTCCGCAGCGAACTACACTGTAACCAAGGGGGCCACCTTGTCCCCTACTACGTAAGCTTAATGAAGACGGCAGCACAGAGTGGTGCAACGGCCAGCACATTAGCCCGATAGACATGAGACGCAGGTTCCAGTCCTGCTGGCGAGGGGCCAGCTGTGCTCATAAATCGGTGTACGACGCTAATGACAGCATGTTTTGACGCATTAGTCCACTTTTTGCCCTTTACTGCGTGATTTCCAGATTCCCAAGTGATTTCTCATCTGTGAGAATTGCAATCCACTGTTCATTGAACTAATGTCAGCAAGATGCCAGCAGTCAAGAAAGACAATAAGACCGAGCTCACTTCCAAGTATGAGGAGGAAACGGCGAATGAGGCCGCTCCCGTACAATGTGATGAATCCTGTGATGTATGAGAATGGTGGACAGAGTAGTTGATGTGAATAAATTCGGCTTCAAACATTAGAGTTTGCGGAGAATCCGCGATACGCTAAGGCGGAGTCAACTGATTCCCGTTTGATCCTTCGCCGCCTAATCAAGAACTCCTCAGACCGATCCCCATACTTCTTCTTCGCGCATTCTCTGGAAGCTCCCATAATGTGGACTCTCTTCATGCGTTAAGTGTGAAGGCGACCTAAGAGTTGGTGTACGTCAAGGCGGCTTCTATCCGTGTTTTACATCCATTCATAAGACAGACTATTAGAGGGGATCCCTGGAAGCTCAGTTGATCCGAGAACTGGGCCGCATCATTGTAGGCAACTGTTAATTGATGGCTTCTTCACTTACCGAAGATATTGAAAACGGAGCAAATGCTATGACTTGCTTTTGCCAAGACTCTTGCAGTTTTCTGAGTCTCCAGACTTTGCAGGACAGTGTGAGTTCCTTCATCAGTTTGTGGAGGCCAAAAAACGCCGCTATAAGCATACATGAAAAGCCGAGACTGACCGATTGCACTCGCTATTGCGGCGCATAACGGTGAGTTATTTTCTTCTCTTATCTCTTTGAGGTTGAAGCTTTCAAGTAATTCGTCGTACCCGCTTATGATCTGAGAGCTTATTGTTCAGATTCGCAGAGAAAATACATTGTGGCAGCAAGGCGTGGCACCAGTTCGCTGCTAATTAAATGGCATATTCAGGGGACGAAGCTGGCGCTTCGACAGAAGCAACATCATCTACCAGTGGTATGAGCACCTGCGCCTGCTGCTAAATGAAGTTCAACAGTTGGAAGGCCATAATGATCTCGATAAATGATAAAAGTAAGTCTTCATTATTTTGGCCATAACGAGGGCACTTTTTGTCGCGAGGAGATTGGAGAATAGTACTCTCTTTCTTATCCTCTTGTCCACTTCTAAAGTTCCAACTTTTCTCCTTTTCGGCCATTTTTCCAAAGATTTCCACTTTATCAAAGAACGTGTTTTGGTGGGCAATTAAGAATCCGTAACATTCACTGCCACATTTAACTATCGAAAACGAAGTTGTATATGTCTTTGCTGCGAGGGAGACAGCTGCAAGGTTGTGGGGGGAAGGGCATGGGAGCTATGCCGCATAGGAACGGGGAAAAGTCAACGGAAAATTTTTGAAAGGTAAGGGGCACGATAAATCCCCAAGATGTGTAGGATTGATACGCCTAGCAGGACAGAATTCAGCGTCCTTGAGCAGGCGCTGCGTGGTGCCTTTTCCAAGGAAGGTTACCCTTATAGCACCCTATCAAGCTGCAATATACCAACCCGAACGGTCACCGCCCCATTACAAATATCCGACCGGTGCTGATGCTTGTATCGCTTCAAGCGAAGTCCGTAGCGGTTATTGGCACGATGGCACCGGGAAACTCGTCCGGAAGTGCTTTCTCAGTCGTGAAGAACAAACGCTTTTTTTGCAGCTTTTTGACCGTTTCACTTCGCTTTTTCTCCATTTTCTCACCGTATCCGCGCTATCATTTCAAACCGAGTACCAGATTATCATGCCTTGTGCCTTTGAAGCCAGATCCTACGACTCCCCCTCAGAGCCACGGGCAACTAGGACCCCACCCTCCACCAACCATATGTGAACCCCTTCTGGGGAGTCTCGGCGTATGACGTGTCCTGATTATGACTATCTGATAAATGTGAGCACTTGGATTGACTTTTTCTTTCAGAATCGCATTTCAAACGAAACACCTCGCAGTGGCGTCAGCAAGAAAGATCAACGCGCTCAGGATCACTAAACAGTACTACTGACTCAAAGAAAAGGCTGCTACCCTAACTCAGTTGTGCTCGATGCTTGAAAATTCAGGAAGTGTCGCCCTGTCACCATCGACCATTCGATTTCTCGACGTTGGCTTGCTCAATTAGCGCACGTTCCACGACAGATACTCCTTTTTACGTTACCCTCTCAATTCATCTTAATCTGGGTGGTGCCCTTGAATTGCGGTTATAAGGAACGTTGCGTTCGCTCTGGCTATAGTTTTCTTACTATATACAACTAACATTGTTCAAATGGCCAAAGTGCACTGAAAATTCCTCTGGTCGGGATGTCGACTGATCGAAAACGACTCCAAAAGACACCAAAAAAAATTACCTCTAACCCTTTACTATTTTTGCTGACTTGCTTTTCAAATCTTGTATGCTTGCTATTCAGTTCGGGAATTCTTCCCCGTGTTCTTGTTACATTTGCACTTCCGATAGGTGAATCGGAAATTAAGAATGGTGAACGATTCGTCGGCGAGCTGGTGCTCTTTGTTTTCTGTTTATGTTGAAAAATGAACAAAGCCTCCAAAAAATGTTCCATTTACAAGTGGTATTTGTTTATTAGAGAGGTTAGCCTGTTATTTTGTCGTATGATTTTGTGTTGTGGAATAAAAGGCATAATCCACAATTACGCTCGTGTTGCAGACTAATCGTGAGACTTGCTTAGTCGAATTTTTTGTGGTCACATGGGTCAAATTTAAGTTGTTGGCTGTCCTGCTGACAGCATACATCTCCCCTCTCGTTCTTTTTTCGTTTCCCATTAGTTTTTCCCCACTTTTTTTCGAAGTGCTGTCTGACCGCTTTGAGAGTCCTGCGAGTCCTCGGGAGGTCAGGTCATAAATTCGCAAACGGTATATGTCACCGTGGGGAGCATTTCTGGTAAAGTTACTCTGGTTCTCATTATTGTTTCACTCACTGGATTTCAGCAGTTCGACGAATGCTGTTGAGATAAGCAATTTTCTGACTGCATAAATCATAAGTGTTAGAACTTCTATAGAAGAGGAGTTCAAAAAGTTTCTAAGGAATTGTCGGAAGGAGGATACCAAAGAGCGACTGGTAAATCCTGAACAGGTTCCTCATTCATATTGAATTTAGGCCCCACTGATTTTGGCGAGCGGAAAAAGCCCGATGTGACTGGATGACTTGACCGGGGGGGGGGGGTGCTACGCTCCCGAGGGCTTCTACTCTTCT